GTGGGGGGGGGGTCCTGCAAAATCTTCAGTAAAAAAATTTGGCTACATAAATCATGAAGAATATATTTGTAAAACAACATCCAGGAGAAACCATAAAACGACTTGTAACTTTTGCAGTACTTTGCTTTCAGAGACGGTGGAGACTGAGTAAAACTTTTATTGTCACTTAGAAAGAAGCACAAAGAAAGGTAAATGATGTTAGCAAAGCTAGTATAGCTAGCATTATAAAACTGATTCTGTACCAAAATTCTTTACCCGTCCCTCACACAAAGATATTTAGTCAATATTAACTCTGCATAATAAGCTAGCTACTTGTGTACAGTACACTGTGTTTTAGGGCACTAGTTTTCTGTTTTTTATTGGTTTTGGTCTTGACTTGATTTCGCCCTCCTTTGGTTTTGGTCTAGACTTGGTCCAGYCCCTAAAATCTTAAGTCTCCTCTTGGTCTCAATACACTTTAGTCTTAGCTTTGACTTGGTCTTGACCACAACACTAACGCTGCAWAAACAAGCTACAAGCCTTTGCTGGACAACTGGGTTGTGACAACAACTGACAGTGAGACCGAGGCACAATATTTAAGATTTGATGGATTTTATTTATTKATTAGATGATTTTATGAATATATATGTAACTAGTTTGTATGTCAGGTTATGAAACATATAAGAAAATACAAAGTAAACCTGGTAACAATGCACCACTGTCAGTGTGACACTTTTATGTTGAGCCAGAATAATGGTGGATCAGTCAGAATCAAACCAAAAATAATAAACGTGGAACATGTTCTGGCAATTCTTCAGAATGTGAGCAATGGAGGAGAAATAATGAGCATAGAGGAATCAAATTAGGATAAAGTTAGCGACCAATATTACAACAAGTCAAAGACATTCATAAGATGCTGAGGTCATGTTTCACCAAAGCTAAAAATCTGAAGGTGGCCTAACTGTGGTACTTTATTATCGGATAGCAAAAAGAAACACTTGTGCATAAAGACAAGATTCAAGTGTGGTAGATACAGTTACCACACAGACAACACGCATTCCCAAACCAACAGACAAGAGCACAGAGGTCAATGTGGATGAGGGGAACAGACAGGGAGGGCAGACATGCACAGTGAGTTAAGTTGAGCCTGGGAAAATCAGCCCTGTACCAAATAAGTAACTGCAGAGGGAGACTGATTGGTGGAGCCAGAGCCACTTAGTGTTCACTGGGGATGAAACTGTTTGACAGAGACGGAGAGATACRCACACGGCCCAGGTCAGACAGCTGGAAAATTGAAGAAAAATGAGCAAGATGGATAGAAAGAAGTGAGGTGTRTTAGAGAGGGGAAATTATAAAGTCCATCAAAATGGGAACACATAGATCTCTGGAGCTCTCCAGCTGTCAGGTAATATTCTACAGACAGGGCTTTGCTAATGATGGAAAAATTGTTGAACTGAAGTGACAGAAAAGACAGCTGAACAAGAATTTCTGACATTTTAAGACACTTTTTTTTCTTATCTGTCCTTGCTGAGCCACTCATAAAAAGGATAAGCTTAAAAGCATCACTTACCACTACTCCAGAAGCAAGCAATATCGTGTTGRAAATGCCAACTTCTTAATCACAGAAAGTCTCTAATTTCAGTCGAAAMGGAAAGGAAAGGAAATGGAAGATTRAGACGGACAGAACGAAAGCGGCAGCAGGACTACGACCAGTAGCAACAACAAGAACTGTACAAAAGAGAAAAGAGGGGGAGCTTCAGCCTGGTCTCTGGACGTTTAAGGACAGAGGTGGAGGGACATTAGAAATGTAAGTTTTAAGCCAAGAACCAAAAAAAAAGGGGGGGAAGGAAACTCAACTCAACTGGGAAGACAATTAAACCACCGTGTGGGATGAAAAGCTTCAGCAGAACAAGCCAAAGTTCAGGACAATCCAAAAGGGTAAGGACTTCCAAAACCTGGAAGGTCTTATAGAACTTTTTTTTCTAGTTTGAAAAAAGCAAATAGGAGAACTCGATGATCACCGGTCCAGTGAAGTCTGCCAGTGGCCTACCCTTCTGGAAGGTCAACTCAGCCAATACAGTGTTACTGCTGGAACCTGAATGTCTCAGAAGATTTAAATCTGACTTAGAAGGATTTCAATTGTGCTCGACACAATATCAGCATTAGGCTGCAAGCCAAATCTAACCAGGAGGACTACTCTAAGAATACTTTCTTGTTTTCTTGTGCTTTAAAATAGAAATGCAAGTAGATTTTGCAGTAAATGTTATGACAAATGCATTGTTTTAAGAGAGCTCTCACTACTGTTATGCACGGAGATGAACAGATTACGTTGCAGTGAAGAAGACACGATTGCCTTTTGAGCCCGGGCCTTAAGAGGCTGCACCTTTAGCGTGGGACCACTTCACTCAACTATGAGGACATTCCCACAGTGCCATCAGCGCATCCTCATCATCTGAGAACGGAAAAAGTCTTATTTTGTGGAATGCTACACCACCTCTGGCAACATATTCACTGAATTGTTTTGCAAGATAAAGGACTTCAAGTGCTTTAAATTTGGACTAATTCAAAGGAAGACTGGAAAAGACTAAAAAAGACTGAAGGAAGCCAATAGTAGAGTGTTAAACCACAGCGGGACCATGCTTAGAGGCCTGTTTCAGAGGAAACTTAAACATGAGAGGCTGGAGGAGGAACCTGAAGTCAGATACAAGGGCTTATTGGTGTCCGAGAAAGACCTGGGATACAGATTCGTCCAACCTGGAGGTAAGAACGTCTCTACATTTGGTTTGCAAAAGTCTAAAAGCGGAGGCTAAGTGTTAGCTACAGTCAGGACAACTAAGACGTGAGCTACACTTCAAGGCTCAGGAACATATCWGTGTTGGTTTCTAATTTACAATACATAAAAAGTGAGACATAAATGACAAAAACTTAATTACAAAGCAAACCAAACATCTCATAGCCTAAAGACACAGCTAGGTGATCAAATGCATTCAACAGCAACAGCTAAAAATCAAGGCACACACACTGCTGAGATTTGGGAACGAGCTCTCTGAGATAATGGACAACTTCACTCTGTAAGTGCTTCGAGACGGGAATGTTAAAAGCCCCGGGCTCCTGAGGACAGGGAAATAACGTCTTCTTGCTCAGACTAAACTTCTCCTCCCCGAATCTTGCCTCGTTCTGCGCCGTATCTCCACTGTTTATTTTTAGCATTCGGTGACGCTTTGTGCCAACCGCCATTCCAGGAAGTTACAGCAGCTCCGAGGGCTACATGTTTGTCTAACGATAAGATTCCACGACCCCTCTACTGAGAGGTCACAGTGCACTGGGACGGGCAGCCTTGCCAACAACTTACAAACCGAATGTTAGCCAAGGAAAATACATTTTCTGTGRCATAAGTTGCTACAWTGTTCTGAAACTGTTTTCCAACTCTTGCTATAAATGGGGCYTTGTGTGCATCTGATTGCATTTAGGAGGCTGTTTCTCTGTTCAGATGCAATACTGGGTACTATGTTTCAAATCTAAATCCAGATTGTTATGATTTGTCCAAAACATGGCAGCTATCGTGATAAAAATCTGTCTGATTACAACAATTATTTATATCTCCTTCTTYTGGCTTTTAACGAATGGCCTTTAATCAAAGCAATCACTTAGAGCTACCATTAGATTTATTTTATACCCTCTCTGTAACTCACATAACTCGAGTTAATACATCTATTTAAACTGAGGAAACAGTCATCAAGTGTRTTATTACTGCTTTTAAGTGTTTCAAAATTTATTTCCTTCCTGCAGCAAATGGTTCAGCCTCGTATCTAAAATTTGCTCTGCATTACTGATGCCCTGACCAGATGTTAGCACTCCTACATTTTAAATTAAATYTAATTGAAAACAGAAAGAAAATGTGCAAAATGTCAAAATACAGGAGTTAAAAGCAGGCGTGAGCAATTCCTTTCCACCTGCTGAGCCTGATGGAGCGTCTAAGATACAGACGACGGCAGGGGGAGTCCGTCAGCGACTTGTGCGTGAGCGTGTGTTTAGATTTTCAGTGACGGTTGTGGTTTATCTAATCTCTGCTGGCTGCTTTTGTAGCGCTGTCAGACTCTTGTCCCACAGGCACACTTAGTGATGTGATTGTGTGAGAGGGAGCCATATGGGGGTCTCAGGAAAAGTCAAGCTGATAAAATTCACTAAAATGCCCTTGCTTAGTTCCTTAAATGGAACTAACGGCTCCCCTTAAAATGATCTACAAAGCRCTCTTTCAAAACATTTTATCAGACTTCCTCGCTGCGGCAGTAAATGAACATGCCCTCTTTTTCCTTGAGACATGACCTCATTTCAAATATGATCACTGGCTTCTATTAAGGAGCGATCTGAGAGCCCAATTTAAAAAGCAAGGGCAGTTTGAAAAAAGGTATTAATACACTGTATGTAATTAAAACTAATTTACATGACAATCAGGGTCACAGTTATAGTCATTTTGACACAAATGCTGAAACTGTACAGATGTTTTTTTTAAATGATGCAAGCCCAACATTTAATGWTCAAACAAAGCTTCATGAAGAGATGAAGTAAACAGTTTTAAAACAACTTCAAAGTCATCTTGCCATTATTTTAACCCTGGTTAATAACATTTTTTACTCATCAAAATTGTTAACTGTTTTAAGATTTTGAAACATACGGAGTGTGAGTAAAACTCATCATCTACAAYGAAAAGAGACACTGATGCCATCAGAGGAGATTCAGTTTGCTTAATATGACATGAAAGAAAATGTAAAGTAGGTGCGTTCAGAGGTGCGTTCAGCCTTACATCGTGCATTGCGGTAAAGCAGGAAAGGGTCCTGAAGCTGGAAGTCCAGATCTTTTGTGATGGGCTCTGTCAGGTTCTCCATGCTGAGTCGATTCATGATGGTGAATCCATGTCTGGGAGATGCCAACCTGACATACAAAGAGGTGAAAATGCAAGAAACCACATCACAGAACATAATTTATACAAGAACAAGGCCTACTGAAAAGACAATCATATCTAACTCTAGAATGAATTGTATTAATAGCTGTTATAATGCAGAACTTATGTTTTCTCATGACACTAAAATACAATTGTGGATGACTAAAAAGAAACTAAGTAAGAGACAAATYAGCAAAAGTTGATAACACAGAGCCAAAAAATAATTCAATACATTTCTAACATCATGTCATCTACTGAATAACAATTAGTTTCTGTATGATTTCATTACCTTGTGTAGATAAACAGGGTACCTTCTACTTCTGTCTTTTCCTACAAAACAGCAAACACATGTTATAAAACAGATAAAAACAACAAGTGTTGTCTTTGGTAACCTAATTMTTTTAATACATACATCTCACATATTAAACTGTCAAACCACCAGAAAATCTGATAACCTGACAAGTTCAATACCTGTCAGTTTACAGTTTGTTCGTTACTAACACAGCTTTTATTTGTTGAATTTTTGTGAGGTGCAATATAAAAGCCAATAAAAACACAACCTTAACATTTACTTTGAACTTTATAAATTCCGCATTCAGCTTTTTGACGCCAATAAATCAGTTTCCGTAGTGACAATACGCGCCTCCCAGGCAAGTTAAGCTAAGCTAAGCTAAGTTAGCATATGGCATAAGTGCACGAACTTACCCACTCATTGGTCCTGTTGTTATAAGTATAAAGAGCAACTTGGCTGGCCACGTCAACAATATTATTTATATAAGGGTCTTGCCGCTGCAGGGCAGCCAAACTTATATCCAGACCTTTGGCAGCAAGGCAGCTATTGCTAGCTGCAGAAGTCGCTGTCATTGTTTCCTAATGGAAACGTTAGCTAGCTAACTATGCTCACCAGCTTTAGTCGTGACTATCGATTCACAGATAAAAACAATTAAAAATACAATCTGCGAACAAGGGGTACAAACGCAACTTTAACTATAAAAATGAAAGTAGGCCGTTTAAATAAGAAGACTGTGACATATTTTTGGAGTTTTCAAGCTGTCATGTTAACCAGAGGGACTGCAAACAACTTAGACATGAGTAGCTGCGCATGCGCGGTAAGATTCAAGCCTGATCAATCGAAGATGAAAAACCGATCGATGTTGGAAAAACCGCATGGACATAAACAACATGCAAAAAAAATATATGATTTGTGCACTAGCAATAAAATATACAAACTGTTAATTTATGCCACTAATTGACAGTAACTACCTGCAGTTGTTTTGTGCTGGTAATCTGATATGAATGAAAAAGATGATTATGCAAAAAATTATTCCAAGTTTTAATCAATATATAGTTTTTAAAGCTGCTTTGCTTGTTATCTGACACATATTCATGCAGATAATACATCTTTTTCAAATATTTTAAAACGTGTAACTGTCTGGCTCTGATGCTTACAGATGGCTCATCTTTTACATTTCCCATTAAATCCACTGGGGGGCAACAAAGAGATTCCTTTGACACTAATCATCCCCACTTAGTGAATTTAATGCATGAGCTGCATAATAACAGACTATGAAGCTCTGGAGTTTATTGTTAATTCTAAATGTCACCCTGTTTGTTTTGCTCTTGTTGGATGATCAGTCTGCATAGAGAGTCAGTAACTGTTTTTAATTTATTCCCTTCAAATTTACAGAACTACATCTTTTATATAAGGAAAAAGCTTGAGTATTCAGTCCTCTTATATTCAGATCAGTTTTATATGTCTCTGAGGAAGGCACTCTGAGATATAAAAGGGTTTTGATTGATTTTTCTGACCTTACTGCTTTAGGACAATGAATGCCGACAAGTGATATTTATCTTGTGATATTCTGACTTATTTATTATCATTTCAGGTTCGGTTGTTTTGCTATCTTTGCATAATTTGTTCCTTTACATCTCATTTGTCAGAGCGACAAAGGCATCACCTTATAAAGTTGCTCTCTCTCCTCCGCTGACCCACCTAGACAGTCAGCGTATTCTGTGAAGTGCATGTATTCAGTATTAGTTTCTCACCAATACAAAATAAACTGCTTATTGATGATACTGATCAGAGGATGGATAACTCCTTTTTCATATCATTTACAAACTCACTTTTTATCAACTTTAAAGTGCCAGTCAGAGCACTTAGATGGCCTTGAGACAGAAGTCAAAATGCAGATTCATCATGAAGTGTCTTGCTGTTTGATAAAGATATTGCTGATTCAAATTTCAGACACTTACTGTATGTTCTTGTATCAGTTACTGTCCTGTCCTTGAATATAATTTTCAGGAAGGATGTCTTATATTCCTGAAGTATACAGGTTCCTGTTCGATCAGTTTATTTATGGCACCGGTTCCTAACAAGTCATTTCAGATCATTAAGCAAAGAAAAATAAATTCAGGTCCAGCCTGTAAAATAAAAAAAAAACAAAATCCAAATATCCAGGATTCTAGCTAGATTAAAATTTAAGAAGGTTTTATTATTATTATTTTTTACTCTGTTGTCTTATTTGAGCTATTTGAAAAACACTGCATTGTAGATTTTTTTCACTTTATAGTTCTTTTTCCTAAAATCAGCATGGTCACAATTATTTAGCTCCTTGAAGCTTGTCGTCTCCTCTCCTATATTCATGTTCATAAATGTGTGAATGCTGATTCAGATTCAGCATTCAAGTCATTGTATTACTGTTTATAGTAATTTTATAAGGTTTTTTTGCTTCTTCCTTTTCTTAAATTTTTTTCTTTTTTCTGCTGCCTTTCATTTTGTGATTTGTATTTTTGTATTGTATACAGAATTTATGTTGCTTTTTAAAAAAAGAAAGTAATAAACTTTATAAACATTTTCTGCAAACTTTTAGCTAATTTAACATCAAAATATTCAGCTTGTTTAGGATGTCACAGATTTTTTTACCTTTTGAATGTATTCACACTTTTCTCCTTATTGAAACGAATATAGAATTCTTCAAATCGTTTAGCTCATTTTATGTTTTAGCAGCTATTAATGACCACCATCTTTCATGCCAGAGTTGAAGAGTAATCAACACATAAATGTAACTTTTTGAGAGTTTTATTAAAAACCATGACAGAAAAATGCACTCATTGGCAGAAACCTTATCACTTATTCCCTCTTGTAAATTGGAATTAAATAAAATCTTAAAAATAAACAAGTAAAACTAAGAAACACAGGGACTGTTGGCAGAAATAAATGTGTTTGAATGTAAGGAGCCATGATTAGTGGGTGATAAATAGTTTGCCTGAAGTGCTTCACCTGGTTTTTCCATCAGCTCCAGATGAGAGAGAAATGAAATTCATCATCTGAACCTTTATCTGACTTTAGACTGAACAACTGAGTTTTGATACAGTTTGCTATAAAAATAAAAATGCAAATACCAGCATAGCAATATAAAAATACTTCATAACAGTTAAAAAGTTCTTAAGTGTTTAATTCTACAACAAATCCTAATCTAGTGGATAAAAATGGCAAAAATTCATAAATGCTTATAATCTCAAATTGTGATGTAGAATAAAATTGCTCTTCTTCCATGTGGGAATTTCCCTTTAAAAAACAGCAGGTTTCCCACATTCACATCATTGTCTAAGATTCCCAGAGACAAACTGGGCTTTAAAAGCGAGCGCGCTCACACATACAGACAGGGTCTGGAAGTGCAAATATAGAAGAGTCCTAAATGGAGCTGATATTTCATGAAGAGGCTGGATTGCAGGGCATGTTGGTGTATGTGTGTCTGCATGTTTGAGTGTCCCCTGGGCCGGAGGATCTGTTCCCACGACCTGCCCTCCATCCACTCTTCCTTCCCTCGCTCTTTCCTGCCTCTCCTCCATTCAGACGAACAGAAGCCCACCATCGAGTCTCTATATTTGTGTCAAGAGTTGTAGCTGTGAAAGCAGGCTAGTAGTATAAGAACTATTCTGTTTTAGCTGATTTCAGTTTTAACTTCAGTGATTTGTTGCATTAAAGAGGAATGGTTTACTTGCAACAAGCTCTCTTCACCAGGTTTTATAAATAATTTGTCTTTGTGCCCTGATGCATCAGATAACAGCTTGTAATGGGATGGTGATGAAGTCCAAATAGCTACAGAACAAGGAGTGCAAAGATGAAAAAAAAAACATTTAAATAATTTTTGGTTTTGAGAACAACAAAAAACAATGAAAAAATACATGGAACATAATGGCAAATCAGAAAACAATGAAGTATAATTATTAAATAGTTTAAAATAACTTATTATATGAACGCTTTTAGACATTCACACTTTTGAGATACTCTATTTTTCTTCCGTACATTTTTTGGCACGTACAGTTTCTCATTCCACAGTTTTGGTACTATAGTTTGAAAGTTTGTGTATCACAACTTTCAGCTCCTTCAGAACATTCCAAATATGACTTTTGATATTTAAGCAGTACTTTTTGAGATGTTTAGCATTTTCTTCCGTTTTTGTTCTCATTGAAAATAAATGGAGCTTTATCCTAAAATCTTTCAAAAGAGTTAAAACTTTCCTGCACTTTTCACTTTTTATTCTGCTTTTTAACTATTTTTGTGCTAAATTTAACTTTCTTTAGCTTCTGGTTTTCCCTATTTTTAGCTTTTTTTCTTTTTCAACTATATTTATGCTCTTTTCAGCTATTCTGTTAATGCAAAATTTTGTGTTTCTTTTTGTGCTTATTTTCAGCAGATTTTAGTTGTTTTACCAGTTAAAGTCACATTTTAACGATAATTTCAGCTTCTTACTGTGTAATTCAGCAAACATGCACTTTCTGATTCTTTCTGCTAGATTTAGCTACTTTTTAAAAGCTATTTTTCCTGTTTATTTAAGCTTTGTTAGGCTATTTTAAATCTAATCTCAAAAGTTTGGTACATTTTTTTCTGYAAAAAACTTTCAGCATTAAGCATTTGTGCTTAATTTTTGCAGAAAATGCAAATTCTTTAGTTATTATTCTTTTTTGACTCATATTTTCTTAAAAAACATCAACATTAAACATAATGCTCAGTGTTTCCTGGAAATAAAGCAATCTGTTAAAAAAAAGAGGAGTGCCATGAAGCCTTCCCTTCAAACACAGTTTATTAATATAACATCTGAATCACTAAACACTATAGATTATTCTGCAAAAGATAATTCGATTGTCAAATGCCATCAACTGAATCGACTCGGGGTTGTCTCCCTGTCTTTACTACGTCCCCAGTGACACGCGTGGACAAAAAGCTTTATGCTGTTGCAGAATGGTGGGCGGTGACGTTGCAGTACGGTGCTGAACAGATGAATACAGACCGGGTTGAGTCATCCGATTCACCTCCTGATTATAGCCTGCAGTCGGATTGACATGAAGTCTGCACATTGTGAACTTTGCATTCAGTGTCAAAGACAATTACACAGAAAGGCCGGTGCTATGATTAGTACTGTTCAGTGTCGTCACATCCTGAATCTTTTAAGTTATATTGACACCTGAAACTCATTCTAATAACCTTTTATGTTTTGTGGGAATATTGGAAATCCTTTTAGAAAACAGCTCAGTTTGAGAAGTGACATTTAGGCAACGATGGAGCCAAACTGACCCAGAGTCGTTTATTTTGTTAAGAGGTGTTCTTGTTGACTTTGTTTGACATTTTCAACCCTCAAATGAGCTTGGTTTCATTGCTGTGTTACTTTTAAAACAGGGCCAACGTCTCCAGGAAGAAAAAAAAAAGGACTTAGCGAGCCTCAAGGGCCCGGACAAATTTGTTTCTGGTTATAGAGAGCAGTGTCGAAACATACGGAACTGTCCTGAGGGGAGGCAAGGAGAGGGAAAGGCCATATAATCAGATTCTAATCATCATTTTTTTTCTTGTCCTATGAAAGGGTTCACATTCGCTGAGTGCTGACCTTCCTGAGCATGCGAGGTTTGATGCTGCGATCAGACATCTGAAAAGAAACAGAAACAAGAAAACAACCTTGTGGTTTCTTCCTGTTTTGAGGGCAGATGTGAACAGATCAGAGCTTTAGTCACAAAAGAGTTGGGAAAAAAAGATATTTAGTGAGCATGTAAACAAAAACTTTGGCCAAAGAAAAGAATGGGGACTGAAAGGGTCCAGATGTGAAGGGAGTACGGACCAGTGAAATATCCAGGTCTCTGATCTCTGTTTGTCCCTGAGCAAATTAGATTTTTTGGTGAAGTATTTCCCTCTTTCACACACACAGGGGACACTTTCCTCTTTTTTCATTGTCAGACTCACGTGTTTCAGCACCTTCRTTCCTTTTTAATAGAATCATTTCTTGTGCTGATTCAGCATTTCATTTTTATTTCTTCTTTTATTTGCCTCATGTTTTTAGTAATCCAACAATTTCTTCATGTGATGTATAGCCATTCATAAGTCAAAAAGTTCAGCTCATAGGAGATTGGTGCTATGAGTTTTAGTTTTTGTATTTATGGAAAACTATTAAATTTTATAAGTTTTTTTCCCTCGAGATATATTTAATTCTTCTCGCTACTTTGGTACTTTTAACATGTCTTAAAGTTTAGATACTTTTTTGTTAGCGCTAGCATTTTGATATTTGATTCTTTCATCTTTTTGCTAGACTACTTTCATCTTTTTTAGCCTTTAGCTAGCTTGAAGCTACTTTTTTGTTTATTTTTTACTATTGTTCCTTTAGCTTTTTGTTTATTTTTTATACTTTTAGCTTATACCTAGCCATTCGCTGCCTGTGTAGACATTTGCTTTGTTTAGCATTTATTATTCCATGGTAGCCTATCCTTTTGCTGCTTTAGCTAATTTTTTGCTACTTTTAGCTTGCAGTTAGATTTGGACTAGACTTTTACAGATTGTAACGGCCTATTGCTACAATTTAACTACCGTTAAACTATCAGATACCCATTTCTACTACAATTTTGCTACTTTTAGCCACATGTTTGTCATTTAGCTATAGCCAACTTTAGTGACCTACTTGTAGAGAACCTGTTTCATTTTTCTGTTTTTAGATTTAACTTATGTTACCAATGCTATGTTTAGCTTTTAGCTACTTTTTTTGTTAGTGTTGTCATTCAGCTTGACTTTTGCTATTTTAACTTTCCAATCCAGTCCAATCCAATCCAATCCAATCCAATCCAATCCAATCCAATCCAATCCAATCCAATCCAATCCAATCCAACTTTACTTGTAAAGCACTTTTTGCACCACAGCAAACCAAAGTGCTGTACAGAATCAACATTCCAACACAGCTCATGCATAAAACATATTCAATCAAAAATACAGTAAAACACAGAGAAAAATAAAAACAGAGAATAAAAAAACAAGTAAAAACAGGAAATAGAAAACAAAGTAAAAACAGGGCATATAAAACAATGAAACGCCTAAAAATTTTAAAATCTGCAAAAAAAACAAAACAAAAAAAAAACTTTGATGGTCACTTATGCTACTTTTATCTTCGGCTATCCCTCTGCTTCTATTGGGTTTTAGATATTTCTTTTAGCTTTCAATCAGCTTTTAATCAGCCTTTCTCAGCCAAACTTAGATACTTTAGCAAATTTCAGCAAACTCTTTCAGACCTCAGCAATCACACCGTATTTTCACAGAAAAGGCTGTTTTCCTACTTCCTAAATATTTTCATACTTGTGGGCCCCTCGCTTCTTTCTCCCCACACGCATCATAACATCATCATCTTCATCATCAACCTCATCTGGCTCCCAGCCGCCGGTTCCCCTCTACTGACTGTAGTTTCTCC